GATGGAATTTCTGAAAAGGCTATCTGCACCGGTTTATTTAATAATATATGAAGAGATGGCATCACCGTGACATCCTACACCTTTTACTCTCAGGTCCAGCCATTAGCCCAGTCATGAGTGGAGAGCTGGAGAGACAGGCAAAATGGAGCAACACTGGGGAGGTGGAAGCATTGATGAATAATTTAAAGGGAATCCAGTGTAGTTTGAAAGAAATCTCCCTGTCAGTCCCCCTGCCTCGCTCAGTCACTCTCAGTGTGTACAGCAGTGGAGAGTGGAGAGGGACACACTATCAGCACTGTGATAGGCTTTAAATAGCCCCCTGGCTTGAGATTTCCAGATGAAACTTTGTGGCACCGCAGAGAGACTGAGGATGATTCCTTATCTCTGCATTCTCCTCTGCTGGATGGCTCTTCCGCTACACGGTAAAGGCTCATTGTACTTTAACCTTAAAATGTTCAGGTGGAGGCGAGTTGAGGCAAGGAGAATTTCTCTTTATCACACACCGGTATCATTATTTTGTCAAATTGCTAAGCTCAGGCGGAGATATCATAAAATGTGATCTATCAAGTGGCCAGAGGCGTTAAGCTGTAAGTGTTTAATTATGTGTTGTTTATGCTGACACGATTCCTTTGCAACAAACTGTGAGGTCTTAAAAAAGTTTTCCAAGGACACCAATTAATGCATAAATCTGTCAATAATGTTGCTTTGGTCTACTTGAGAAAAAAAGAGCTTTTCTTTGCACACAGTCACAGGCAGGTAACTGACTCTGCCTGTCTTGTGTTGCAGGTCTGGAGATATTTGACCCCGAGGAGGTGGAATACATCCGTTCCCATACCAACGCAACTGTGGGAGGCTCGGTCACCTTGGACTGTGGCTCCATTATGCCGACCATCTTCATCTGGGGCTTCACCAAACCAGGAAGCGATAATAATATAGCTTTGGCTTATAACTACGGGCAAGGCCCGAAGGTTCAGTCTCAGTCCAGCGACTTGGGTCGCATGCACGTGCCCGTGAACACCTCCGCTTTAGTCATAGAGGAGCTTCAGAGTGAAGCAGCCGGGACGTACACCTGCCAGGCTTTGTACGATACAGAGGAAGGGGCCAGGATAACGTTTTACTTCACTGGACTGGATGTAGAGGACAGCTGATTTTGTTGTGTATGTCTTCACATATATCTGCTCTAAAGAAGCGGTTCATGCAAATCCCCCCCCCCCCCCCCCTTAAAATAAGTTCCCTAACATTTAATAACGCAAATAGTTTTGATGTAATTTGTCTCAGAGTTTACGTTGTTAGAGAGGAGTTTTGCTCTTAAATACAGGTGAAGACAATTTCACAGTTAAAGGGAGCCTACAGCAATTCTACACAACTACAACAATTTCCAAATATATACTTTTACTTTGTCATATATGAGAAAACCTGAGAAAGCTTGGCCTTAAAGATTGCAAGTGCTTTTCCAGAAATCTAGGTTGAAGGGGTGAAGTTTGAAACTTGTTATGGTTTGTAGAAGTTTGATTCATATTTTGAACAAAATGTACCTCAAAATGCGTTCCCTTTATAAACATCATCTTTATTATTCCTGTTTATAAATGACGTCCTGGTGAATCGAGATAAATATCTTTGTGTATTTTTAATAAAGAAACTTTGCTGTGTATATAATCCAGACTAACCGACTTACTCCATCTTCCAATACAGGGAAAACACCAGTTTGGGCTGAAGGACACTCAAACACTTTGATCAGTGAAAGACCGCACTGTTGCCTCCTGCAATCTTTGTAGCCATATAAACTTACAACGCGTGACACCATGTAGACCTGAGGTTGTGGTTTTCATTTCAGTGTTTCTCCACTCTTGCATTTTCTTGATTATTAAAGCCATCTGGATTTTTTTGTGCACTGGACATGACTCATTTTACTTGTTCTTTTCTTCAGTGACATATACTGTTCGTGAAATCTTCAGTTGAACTCCAATAACCACCATCCTGCGTTGTTATTCCTTCCTTAAGTACAGAACGATCGTTAGATAACCTCTGTGTGTTGTTGCTATCAACAGACTGAGAGACGGCGGCAGAGCAGACTGACACACTTCATCATTTTAAAGCACATCGCTCCAGGCTGCAAACTGAATAAACGTTTTAGCAATGACAGAAACGCTTGCACATAAAACAAGTTTTCTCCTAAATAATTAATTTGTAAAATAAACATATCGCTACTTATCTTCCTGCGCTGGTACCCTCATTTATTTTTCATCTAGGGTGAATTTCTTCTTACTTGTTAATACTGTTGACTCTGAAGATTAGCTCATGTCAACACAAGGTATCATCAGTATATTCATTATGGATCCTGATCAGTCCGATCAAAGAAATTGCAAATTTACCAGGAAAAACGGGGCAGTTAAGGGAATGGAGGTTAAATAAAGATTATGAGTATTTTTCCCCTAATTATATCCAACAGGTGCAGTCAGCTCATAATCAGCCAGCTGCTCCAACAGCATGAAAGTACAAAAATGAAAACGTTGCAGCATTTTTGTGTGCTACAAAGGCTGACTGCAAATAAAGACCAGATATCCTCGAGGGAGACTTTGATTATTAGTCTTAAAGCATTCTGCACATGAGCTCATCCTTCGCAGGGGCCCGTTGGAACACCGCTGGACTTCATCCAACAACAACACGCTTCACTTGTGGTTTGTGACATCTCAAGGATAAAACCGCCCGTGGCTGAATCAACCGAGTTAACAGCACACTGCCCGATTCATAAGAATTGCATTCATTCAGGGTGTGCTGAAGAGGGGAGAGAGGAAGAATGGTGGGTGGAGGGAAGAGAGACTGGCGTTAACAGGTCCGCTCTGCAGCAAGGGGCAAAAATTCCAGGGCGGACAATAAGCTTTCTTGTTCCCATGGGCTCCTTAATGAAGGGGTGTAGCTGTGTGGGTAGAGGGTGCAGGGCAGGGCTGGGAGAGAGTGCCGACTGACAGACGTGGGAGATGGAGAAGCAGCTCATTTAGAGACAACCCTGTCCTTATCTTTTCCTCATCATCCCAGGCTGCTTCTGTCAGCATCCCCTCTCCCTCCCCGGATAATTTCTCCTTCATTTCCAGCTTCATTTCCTATCCATTGTTTTGTTCTCTTTTTTCTTTCCAAACAGCAACAATAGACACTGTATGGACATAAAATAAATGCTAAGAGGAAACTTGAGTCTGCTTCTGTAATGGCGAGTTTGGGGCCATTAGGTACTTTTTTCTCTTTCTCACAATCAAATCAGTGTAAATTTAAATAACTAGAGTTTCAGGGCTGCCAACACTTCTACAGACTCTTCTTGGGAAACAATTCAAGTCAGCTTAATGGACTCTGGCTGCCTTAATGGCACAACAACCTCCATCAACAATAAAAATAACAGCCGGAAGATGCTGCGCCACGCCTCAGCAGTAGGCGAGCAAATCCAGGAGCCAGGAATATCCCGTATACCATCAGTGGGAGGAGAAATGCCATGCGAGCCAGGGCCTGAGGACTGGCAGCCAACTCTGGCAAAAATCACAGGCAGACAGGCACCAAGCATGGAAAGCCTGCACCGCAGTCATCCTCAGTGAAGCACAGCCAGCCCCGTCATCCGCCTGCTGCAACCCTATCGACTTCAATCAGCCAACGCACCATGAAGATTATTTTTAAAACCAATAGAGGTTTTAAGCCTTTAGAAAATGGGCAACACAGGCTGAAACTTGAGAAGAATATTGTACAAGTGTTTTATGAATGAGTTATCTGCACAGCAGGAACATCACACAGCAACTTTTCACAACTGATTTGCTGGTTTCCTCTATTTGGTGCTTTTCTCACTGCCCGTCACGTTTTTCTCACTCTGGTTTTTTCCTCACAGAAATTGTAAAACTGCAGCAGTAGATTCTGGTACTCGACAAAAGCCACTAAAAGCTTCAGTTCACTGGTGACACAAAATGCACTTTCAAGCATGAGAAGCATTAGAATCTTTGCTACTTCTAGCAAATAACTACACCGAACTTTTATTCTGATGTCACATGGACCAGCTGTTGACTGTGTCTCACAGGTAACTCTGTCAGGTGATGTCTTGAGAGTTTCGGTTTAAAGAAAACTGGCTACATTCTCCTAATTAGCCCTTTATGATACCTGGCCACGCAGTGAGTTTCATTTCATTCTTTCATCTTTGAGACATTTCTGCAGACTAACACAATAACTCACTTTACAGACTTAATAACACTGTGTTGTTATGGCCATTTCCCCTGCAAAATAAGACATTAAAAACTGTTTTCTTTGTAAAGTGGTTGACGTTTCGTTTTTAGAACTAGTGATGCCACACTGACGAGAGGATTTAAGATTTCTTTGCACAGAGTATTTCCTGCTGTTCGTAGAAACATTCTGCTTGTGGCCGAGCATTTGCACTGATGCATTGCAAAGTTATCTAGGCTGCTCACACTTAACATCTCTGTCTTAATGTAACTACTCAATTTCTCTAATAGATTGCGGTCAGCAGGTCATCAGAGCTCTCAAAGTTAACTGGATTTTGTGTAAAGTGATGACTTATCAAACAGTCAGTGAAGCAAAGCGCATCAGCCTTAATCTGAACAGTGCAGGGAGCGTTCACCCCATTCAGGGGTCACTGCAGTGGAACAGCCCATCACACAGCCACATCAAAGGCCTGCCAGAAATATCGATGGGTTTGGATCGAGGCGGGGAAATTCACTACGGCAATCATTCACATGAAGGAGGTCAGGAAAGACATTGAAAAAGGTTGTTGTTGACTCTCCCACATCTTTTTTTTTTATATTATTACAAAACTTTACACAGACAACTGCTAATCTCCACACTTGAGTGGAACACATAGAGACACAACACAACAAAAAATAAAAAGTATTTCTCATTCAAAAGGCATAAATAATATAAAAGACAAACTTTTTTCTTTAAAACAGATACATTCATATGAAATAATATTTTACTACTACAAAAAAATAAATAAGTCATCTAAAGAGTTTTTGATCTTTTATGAGACGCTTCCCGCCAGTGGGATATAGTGTCTTTTCGCTTCTCTCCGTCTGACTGCGCTCTCAGTCTCTTGTAGTCCCTCTTTTTCCCCCTGGTTGCTCATCTCAGCTCAGTCCAATCAACACTTTAGTGTCCTCGTCACCATAACATGCAGTGTCTCTGACTATCCCACCGCTCGCTGGTCTTCCTTTTTTCCACTCTTGATACTTCCACAGCTCTCGTTCAGCCTCTCTGTCTGTTTTCTCTAAACTTCCAAACTGTGGGAGAGTGTGCTTGTGTGTGGGCTATGTTCAGGCCTCCTGCGGGCCAGGCTGGATAAGCTCTCCCGCCAGGCTGCTGCTGGAGATCCACCCAGGCTTTTCGTCACAGTCCAAGTCTGGCAGGCCAAGACTCTCCCAGCGCACCACAGGCCCCTCCGTGTCCACACACTCCGGCTCCTCCCCAGCTGCACACAGAGCGAGAGAGAGAGCGAGAGAGAGCGAGAGGCTTTGGTTTACTATTTGTATTAAAAAAGACAAGCAGAGATTCTGGAGAGGCCCACAGTGTAATTTGTGGTGACGCCGCATAGTTTGTCTGCATACAACATCAGGATTGGCAGTGATATAAAAATCTACTAGCAATGCAACAGTGCTGAACCGTGAGCATCTAGAAGTAAATGTTTTAACTTAATGCGCTAATTTCTTAAAGCAACAGACCGATATTTTTACTTGTTAAAAGCTAGATATGGGATCTTTTTCCCACTAGGAAATGTGTAGAAAACATCAGCCTACCAACACTGTAAGTACTGGGTCACCTTCACATTGCACCCACTTGGCCATGAAAATCAATGCCACGAACTTTCTGCTGCACAGTTTTTGCACTGATGGGCAGAGAAGCTTTGGAGCTCTGCAGTTATTGAGTCAGCAGATTGCTGGTGACTTTTACACTATAAGTGCCTCAGCACTCAGCGACCCCACTCTGCAGCGGCTCTTACATGGTCTAAAACTTTGTGGTCGAGTTGACGTGGTTCCTTCAACTCTTCCACTTTGCAATAGTGACTCACTCTTTCACCCACTTCTTGAGTTATGATCAAGGAAAATAATGAGACCGGGATATCATAACAGCTACATAATGTTAAGGCGACAAGGTTGTCCCCGCCTACGTCTTCTTCTATAGCCTCATTATTCGACTGATAGCAAATTTAATTAAATGATCTGTAATCATGTGAGCAGCTTGGATATAACTTGGGAATTTAATTGCATAATAGGTGCAGTGAGAAGATGCAGAAATGGAAGACAAAATACATGGAAAGAACTTTTTTTCTGGAAAAACGTGTCTCACCAGTGTTGTCTGCTAGATAGGTTTCATTGTTGCTGATCAGACAGCAGGAATGCTGTGAGGGCGAGGACTCTTTGTGCTCATCTGATCGGTATCCTGCGTTGGCCTCCTGGTCCACAGAATGCGTGTGGCTGTCGTGGCCGCGGCACTGTGATGAAACCTGGCCCAGAGGCACCATCTCCAGCCCGTCCTGCTGGCACGGCGCCACGCGATGCATTAGAGGGAGCGTGCCACTGGAGAAAGTGCCATTGGTCTTGTTGTAACATCTGGTCAGAGACAAACAGAGATGGAAGGGAAACATTCATTAATGCCCGTGCGTTGCTGAGTGTTCACTCTCTGACAGCTCTTAGCAGTGCTTTACATGCTCATTCTTTCTCTCTGAAGGTTTTCCACCAGACACAGAAAAACTCTGAATTAAGATTACTAGTCCACAAAACAATGACAGCTCTAACACAACTGGAGCGCTCTCATCGTGCTTCAAAAACTGTTTTCATCAGAGATTACAGGCCACACAGCCTCTAAGTAACTGTGACACATTGTGGTTTTGCTCTTCAGTGAAGTTCCAAAAAGCAGAGAGTTGCACGCAGCAAAGTTGTCCCTGTTTTTCCGAACTCAGCTTCCCTCAATCGGGACACGATTGGATTGTGACCTCACCCCCCTCTTTTCCCAGCAGCCGGAGGTAAATAAACACAGGACTCATTAGGTCTGCTGGCTGGGTGCACACAGGGTAAACTGTGATGCTGGGGACCCTTAAATACATAAACAGGACTAAAAGGAAGGCAAATGTGTCCGTGTGTGTGTTTGGATCTCAAAAGGGGCTCTTGAGCACTTCTCAGCGATATCTTAGTAGAAATATGACCGATCTGTATTTTTAGGCCCAATTTGAAGTAAACAACGTTAATTTGAAATCCCAATAATTTCCATTTCCAGATTTTTTTCACTTGTTTGCTTGTTATTTCATTTGATTTTCCACACTGATCACTGCAATTGAAAGTAAATAATCTTAAAAAGGGGATGTCATATTTTCATTGGAGAAAAAAAGAGAAGACGTAAGCAAACTGTACAGGGACATAACTATATAAGAAAAAGGATATACAACTGGTATTACAAAGCCCATTAAGAAAAGTCCCGTTTCAGTTCACCTGCCAAGTGTAAAATAGATCAAAAACCCATACAAACACCTTGCTTAAGAGTTAGATTATGCTATCTCACCTGTTGTTGTTGCAGAGGTTTTGACAGCTCATACAATCAGAAGACTCTGTTTGGGGAAGAGCTGTGTACATGCCTCCACCCTGACAGGGAGACACAAACACCAGATTAAGCCACACTGAATGGAATTTGTACCTGTGCATGTAAAATACCACAGTTTAAAACATCATGGACATGGACACCACGACCTCAGCACTCACGTTATGATGGTGGTGAGGGTGTGAGTGCTCGCAGTCCCGCGTGCTGTGCGGCAAGGTGCCGTTGTGGCCATGCGGGGGACCTGGTGTGTACAGATTCCCAGAGCCGTTGAGCAGTGCCAAGCCATTCGGGAGTTTGTGGTGGAGGTGATGGCATCCTTGGGGTAACATCTGGCCACTGTGTCCATAGCCACTGTGGATACCCCCATTAACGCGACTGTTGCCAGGCAGCGTGGTGTAGTCGAGCACATGGCCGTTCAACTCTGGTGACTGGTACAGGTAGCCGGGAGCATCAAACTCTGCAGCAAGAGAGGCTACAATCAAGATAGGAACAAGACCAGTTTCAGCTCTGGAGTAAGTTTAGCTTGAAAAATTATTTAGGGCATCAGCTGGAATAGTTTTGGATATTGCTTAAATAGACAAAAAAAACTGTAAAACTACAATTCCAAGAAATCTGTAAATAACAGCAAAATAAAATGATTTAAAAATCTTTGATTGCTCTGACCGCAGAAGAGTTTTCCACTTGGTGATGGTGGCATTTTTGGTGGATGGCAAAGACAATGATTTCTGGAAGCGTTCCTGAGCACACGTAGTGATTTCTAGTTTTCAATACAGCTCCATCTGTGAGCTTGAAAGTCACAGGCATCAAGAGTCGTTTGATTATCTTATTTAGTATAGGTTATTTAACGTAGTCTTCATAATTTTATATTATTCTGACAATGTTAAAAATTGTAGACGCAACTTGGTGAATCTCTGCCTATCTGCCTCTTCTAATTTTATTAAATTTAATAATTGTATAGTACTCTGTTTATAGTAACCATTGTCCTTGATGTAAATATGTAAGAAAAAAAATTGTGTATGTTTCTGTTCTGTGTCCTGTGTACTGTTTGTTGTATATGTGTCTTTCTGGCTGCTGTTACAACCAAATTTCCCCTTGTGGGACAATTAAAGGACTATTCTATTCTATTTTATTCTAAGATGCTCTTTTTATACCCAATCACATTACTGACCTGTTGCTAAGTAACAATTAGTTTCAAAATGTTCTCCCTTTTGTTGCCCATGTCCCAACATTTTCGAGATGTGTTGCTGCCGTCAAATTCTCGATGAGCTCATATTTTTCATGACATACTAATATGTCTCAGTTTAAACATGTTTTCTGTGTTCTATTGTGAATTAAATATAGGTTTGCAAGATCTGAAAATCACTGCTTTTATTTACATTTTACTGAGTATCCCAGCTTTCTTGGAATTGGGGTTGTATGCGTGGCTTTGCCAGTTTTGATGATGTTTACAGCCCCCCAGACAAGCAACCAAACAAGCATTTCAGCACTGGTGACATAATTCAAATATCATATTGTAACAGGTATCATGTGCCCAACTGTTTGATCAACTAAGATGTTGATGAACTCCGATGAATCATATGCGACCCTCATTCTTACATAAAAGGTGGAAACCAGTGACCCAGTCTACGAAATCTTTAAGCTACAAAATTTCAGCTATTTACAGATCCAGCGGGTCTGATAAAGAGCTCATCTAACAATGGCCAACTCTTTTGCAGGCACTGTGGGATCTGTATATGCACTTGGAATGAACACTTGGAATATGTTTCACAAGCTGTCTTGGGGCCAGCTATTCTCAAAAATGAGTTAACTCTTGCATGCTTGCTGTTCATCTTGCAGTGAACAGCAGTGTAAGATAGAGCATGCTACGAGAAAAAGTTTGCTTTTCATATCCTGAGCAATGTTTGGGTATTGATTTTTAGTTTAGTCTACTTTGATATTAAACTCACTGTGCATGTTGTTCTGTTGACGATTCCTCCACAGACAGATGATAATAAAGGACACCAGGATGAACACCATCACCGTTAAAACAGAGCCCACAATCACATAGAGCAGTCCTCCAGGAGGGCTTGGGGTATCCACAGGATGGGGGTCAGATGGGGTAATAGGGTGCTGGCTGGGTGATCCTGGAGACTGGCGTGCTGCAGAAGAGAGGAAGAAGGGGACATGAGGAACAACTTTTTACCCATTTGCGTTAAGGAAAATAACAAGGTACAGCACCAAACCATAAAATGCAAGCCATTGTTGTTGAGCTCATAAAACCCAGTACATTTATGTTGTGTAATTTTGGTGATCATACCCGTCATTAAAGTTACAGCCTTTGCAGAAACATGCCTGGACTTCTGATAAACTAGAGGTTTGGTTAAAGTGTGAGTCATTTCTTCTGCATTACAGCGTTGTGTTTCCTTACCTCTGGTCTCACAGATCATGACGTTACTGTATTCACTCTCTCCCCCGTCATTAAAGCACTGCATTTTGATATCGTAGGAGGTCTCAGGTTGGAGATGTCCAATCATGTGCCAGTTTTTTATACCTGGGAAGGCAGGAAAAAAAGGGGGACAAAGGTGAGAAATCACTTCCTCTACAAGTCAGTGTTGACACAACTTGTTTAAACTCACAGCCAGTTTTTCGCTTCCTATTGTCCTTCGCTTCAGGCTTCTCACTCAGGTCATGTTCTTTCCCTCTCTCTCTGCTTCACACCCAAACCTTGTCTCCTTCTCTGACAGTCTCACCAGGACCCAGACAGTTGCCTTATTCGAGACAAGCTCCATATATGGCAGCTTCATGTTTGTCCTGGCTTGCCTCCAGTATTCCCACTCCACACTCACGCCACTGCTGCACTACTACACACTATCACACTACTACGTGCTTTGAAATCACAGATGAGACAGCTACAGTCTCCAACATGGAAATGCCACATTTCCTACAAATGAGGCTGAAATAAGCTGCTGTACTTGTCATGTTTCATTTCATAACAAGTATAATAAATCGCTGCACATGTACTACCTATGTCCCGAGGTAATTTTAGTGGGAACACGTTTTTAGAGAGGAAGCATACACTGAATCTCAGTATTTAATGTCAGTATCACCGTAACAAAAATGCCTCTAGGCAAGTGAGTGACTTAGAAACTGTTGCAAGAAAAGGTCTTCTAGAAAATAAGGATAAGGCTGGGTATGCTATGGGACAGGTCTCCTTTGTGATCGGCAAGCAGCGATGGCATGAGTGTATTCTAAATCTGACCCATCCTTCCCTCATCAAGTGTAGTTTCAAAAGAAATAAAAGGCCAAAACCTTTAGCTTAAGACTAAAAAATGGGACTTAACATGTCAATAGGTGATGTTATGGTGACTACGTCCAATTTTATCAGCCTTTTATTTCTCCAACTGTGGCCTCAGTCACACAGGACAAGAGATCAGTCAGCAACCTGTCGGCATTTTCCCGTTACCAGGATAATATTACAGTCACACTAAGGAAAACAATGAATGGAGACAGTGGCACAACCAACATTATTGCACCATGTGCAATGAACAGACTACGTAATTGCCTTTGATATCATTGCTTCCAGTCAGTTGCCGTCCTCAAAGCAACTTCAGTGCATCAAGACAGCAATAAAAGGGCATTTAGATGGCTATCAGTCTGCTAACGGTTTGCAATTGAATGGCGTTAAGCTGGCAGTTGCACGCAATCTGTTTGTGACTAACACGATTACTAACTGTGATAAAACAGCAAAAATTCCAAATCTGTTATTGTCTGCTGCAAATCTGTTCCCATCTAAATACACAGAAAATCACATTGAACAGAAATCCAAAATGTTCAACTCAGCACAGTCTAAATAAGATTGGTTGTTAATTGTCGGCAGTTATCTTCAAACCTTTGCCAGCCTGTCTGAGACTGACTGCAGCGACTGTGCCTTGGGTTCCACATTGGTCAGTTTTTTGGGTACTGCAAGTTAAACCTCATGGTCACCAGTTGGTTGGCCTCAGCTACATGCAAATGTGAAAAAAATCAATTTAATCACCAGACAATTGATTCAAGTGCCATTCTCTCTTCTGCCACTCTTCTGAAACTGGCAACATTTTAGTGCAAAAAAATAAGACAAATTCTTCTTTAGTCCAAATCTTGTGCTCAGTCTTATTTGATACTTTATTTGCCAAACTGCAATTTTATGAGCATACCATAACACTATAACACTGGGCTTTGATGGGTATTACCATTTTTTCAGCTCTTAAAATCTGACATTAAGTGTAAGCTGGTCAGAGGTTCCTGTTTAAATCTACTAATTTTTAAATGTTATAGCAACGCAGCTATCCACATCTTAAAATTTCTCTCTTTAATGACTGAATTTTTGGAATTTGTAACTTCGGTGTAATAACAAGCTGCTCGCTGGGGACAAAGACCAAACAGACATTTGTCCCTGGCGGTGTGGAAAGTCACATACTCAGATGCTGGAGAGATGGGCAAAGTGAATGGATGCCCCTCCCTCCCTTCCTGCACCCAGCTCAACTGTTAGCATTCCACCCAGCAACCTGAGCTGCTCTCGTCTGGTCGGGCTCATATTACATCTCCGGCCTATTAGCTGGCAACCATTTATTAAAAACAGATTTCAGAAAGCAGTGCACTCTCTATAAATCAACGCGCCAAAATGCACACCACTCTCGACACAGTATCCATTACACTTCCAAGTTTATCTGTAAAGCTCACGTCTACAACAGGACTGGGGGAAGCTGTCGACAAACACTCTACACCGTTACTCACTCGGCATGCAGTGGAAAAACATACACGCGGTAAAACATGTAGCTCCACTTACCTTCAACCACGTCCCTTTTGTAGTCGCTGTCATTGTCACTGTCCGTGGGCCGGTAGTAAATGTAGAAGCCTTGGATCGGAGTGTTGTTGTTAGTCGAGGGACTATACTGGATGGGGATGGAAAAAAGATTATGTTGGACTACAGCAATCTGGTAAGCAATTATCATACAAAGAGAGGAAATTTTCCAGCACCTAATAGCGGGCCCTGTTATCAGCAGATGTACAAGACTGCAAGCTAGATTGTGATTGCACTGTCTGTCTGAAGTTGAGGAAATAATGAGGTTGTCTGAGGTTAAGTAAATGTGGGGAACTATCTGCATCCATCTGCAACCAAAACTGTTGTAAGGCAGAAACAGCTTTGAAGACAGAAGAATCAGAACACGGAGGGACAGGGCCTCCCTTTCTTGCTGTTGGAGCAGAGCTCCTATCAGTACAGTCTGATTGGCTGCAAAAGAACCACGATCAGTTCAAACACAGGTGAGCCACCTGGAAAAGTCACTTCATCAGCCAAACTTTTCCACTGTTATGCAGGGACGGGAAGTTGTTCAGATCATTTTGATGAATGCGCACTTAACTTTGGAGACAATTACAAGCGATGCAGCTCTTATAGGAGCCTGAACAGGAATCATCAGTAAAAGCGGAAAACATTATCAACCATGTTGCGGCTGGCATAATTCTCCACTCATTATCGTAGAACACATGTAGGTAAGGGCACGCGCTGTTTTTCTTGGCTAACATAACATGAATTTCCACAGCAATTGTTCAGCGCTCCAGTGGGTTGAACAGGAGATGCTGATCATGTCGGCACCCTGTATTTAGGCGTAAATAAATCCACAATGGCATGGCATTTTGCACAAGTCAACAGACTTTTTAAGCACAGTTTAATCAGATCTGACTTAAGTTCCGGTGACCACTGAAAGAAAAGTTTTGGCTCTCTACTCATTCACTTTAAAATTCCAGCCCAAGTAACTGAACAGAGCCACTGCCATAAAGGTGCTGAGTCCTAACAGTTGCCACTAGAATGTAAACGCTTTAGTATTTCATTTTTATACTTTCTTGCTTCCATTTCAACAGTATTTCATATCTGTAGCTGTGACATCACTGTTTCACAGTATCCACAGAAAGGAAATCCACAAGGAAACAAAAGTAGGCAGATAATCAAAAACGACTGAAAAACCTTTTAAATGCTAATTTTGGTCAATGCACTAGAATACTGCGTGGACACAATTACTGTAAATACAGCAGCTTTGTGTAAAACTCACTGATAATTTTTGACAGTTTATCTTTGTTTTCACTACTAAATGCGCTTGTTTGAATGCCACTACTACTTCCATGATGTACTACTCACAGTCCAGCGCAGCATGATCTGCGTGTCGCTGATAGCATCCGTGGATGAAATATGAGGCCCAACCACTGGACGGTCTGTCTTAGGAGGGCTTGTTTGCGGCACTTGGTACGGCTTCGAGGGAATGCTGTGGGGGCTCTCACCGTACATGTTCATGGCTGCCACCCGAAACTTATAGGTGGATCCTGAGTGAGAAATACAACAGGAGCAGCAGTGTTACAGTACAGTGTTGCTAAGCAAAAGCTAATGTTGGATTTCTTAAGCAGGCAACACTCATATGATGCTGTTAGTTGGTGTATTGGAACTGAAAGGGGAACTGAAAGGGGAAAAACAGCTGATGGCACAGCATCTGAAATCTTGTTAATAGTTGAAACTTTATATTATTTATAATATATATAATATTTGCTGATGTATGATATGATCTGTTTTATCTGGTTTATAAAGTTTGAGAAGCCCTCAATGCTTTGACCATAAAACTTTTATTTTCCCTTATTAATAATTGTCCCTGGGTATTTTATTTTATTCTCACTATTACTTTTTCTCTTATTTTCACATCAGCATTTTTGCAGACCAGTGACAACTACAAATCAACATAGACCAAGAAATAATAACAACAACTAATTGCTGTTTATCAATTGTTGATTTCATTGTCAGTGATGGGGTAAAGTTTTTGCGAGCCGAACGGCAGCATAAAGTTATTTATAAGAATTGTGCTATTTTTCAAATCTCCTTAAAAAAGGAAATTCTCCTCTGGGCAGATCAATCATTTTCTGCATCACTGGACTGTAGAGAGAAGTTGTGAACGATGTGTAAACTCACCAGGCTCCAGATTGCGAACCTCCACAGACAGCTTCAGAGGTGAGATGTTATCTGCAGCCACAACCCACTCGGCACTGCGGCCGCGTCTGTACTCCACGCGGAAAGCTGTGATCGGAGAGCCGCCATTGGCTCTCGGGATCCAGGTGACGTATGCTGAACTTTCAGTCGCCATGGAGATGGTCGGGCGATCGGGAGCCTCTGGAACTGGTGAAAAAAGCAAATAGGAATTAAACTCGTACCTGTCATTACTGCATCTGAATTCATGCAAACGTGATCACGGGAAAAGAAAAAAAAGTAAAGCACGCACATCACAGGGAAGCCACAGAGGGATGTATACTTACTGCCTGGCCCCTTAGTCACAGAGTTAGAGAAGGCAGGAGCGAGTAAGACAGAAAGAAAAGAGGGTTAGTGAAAAGATTAATGTGAGTCTCAGCAAAGTAGGGCCTGCTTGTGACGCGAGTAAGTCAAATGCACGCACACAGATACACACACTCATTTCTGACCCTAAAGCCGTGTGTAATCTCACAGCATCTCTCTCCCAAAGAGTCATTACGGGGTGTCAACTATCATCTGACTGTTTGTACTCTGAGGCACAAAGAAACAAAGCAGACCACATCTAAACATTAAGCTCTGCGATCTGTTTAACACAGTCTGGTCATGAACTCCACAGTAACTAGCTACATGACAGAAAGCCCCATAATTTCCCCCAGAAACATCCCACAATCATTGTCTGCACAGAGTCCAGCAGCTGCAGCAACAACGCAGGGCCTTTCAGACAGTCTGCGATTGTGTCGGCACCAACCTCTGTCATGTATGACAACTCCAAAGTGCGTGTTGGGGGTTTTGTCCTCTGGAGCTTTGGGTGGCACGGAGATGACGGGAGGCTTGGAGGGATTCTTGTTGGGGGAGGTGCTCTTCTCTGAGAGAGGAAGAAGAAAAGCTGGAGGTAAGAAAAACATCAGCACTGCCACCAGAGGACACACTTCAAACATCAGTTTTGTAAAAATCTGCTTACGGCTGCATAAAAATCTGTGTTTTAAATTGCACACTAGGACGTGTTTTAAACAAAATGGGCGTATAAAACCTGCAAATTGCATAACATTTTCTGTTGACTAAAAATAAACTGGCGAGAACTTTGTAGTGTAGAGTTTTCAAAACATATTTCTTAGTTTACGGCAGGCCTTTGAAATTGTTTGTGGGTATTTGAGTTCTTTGTATCTATTTGGTGACTTGTAATGGTTGTAAAGGACTGTATATTTTTATAGACTTCGTGGAAGCATAAAAGTTTATGGATTTAGTATTTCTCTACTAGAATTGGATTCCTAAAAGCAGGAAGAGGTAAACAGAAGACACATAAAAATGCACATTACTCTTCTTCTTCATCTGGTAGAGTTTGGCTGGACGCAGGAGCCCAGAGGTTGGCATTTTGATGGTCCTGGACTATTTTGTAAATGAACCACCCCGAAGATATAATCATATCTGTGGTTTTTGGCAGTATCCCTGGCTTTGCATATTTCTGACCAGGGAATATTTTGTAACCCTGCTGTGGTAAAGCACAATTGTTATTGTGTTGGAATACTTGCGGTCATTCTTCTTTTATTTGTCTCTAAACAGACAAAAAGCATGTTCACGCTTGTCTACGATGACTGACACCGGTCATTATGATTGTGTTCACAATGGTGACTGGATGACCTGCTGGAATACCTGAACAGGTAAGGTACGATTACACTGAGTAAATGGTTGCATAAAATAAATAAAAATAAAATAAAAATATAATAATAAAATTTCAATTACTGTCTTCGTTGATCCGCATAAGATTTTATCATTTTTTCTTCATTCTGTGCCAAAAGCCAAAAGTTGAAGGCACTTTGTTTGGCCTTACACAAATCACAAATATCAAGCTAAATTCCTCAAATTAATATAATTGCGCAAAAACTACAGTAAATCTTCTTGCAACCCTAAACGAAAAATTCATTGTGCTTTGCTCATTTTTCTGTCCTCCGGAGACTGCTATCAGCGGAGAACATGCTTCTGTTTCTTCTCCGACAAATGTTTTCTCTAGCGTCTGCTCAATGTTAGTGCAAAATGTCCAAAAACAACCAGACCCTCCTTAACTCAGCATGGCCCTTAATTTATTGTTCAATCTTTGTAGCTTTGGTGGAAATGAGAGTAAAGTTTTTTTCTTACAGCATTTAGCAATTCCCAGGAATATTAGCAGATACTGATTAAATAGTGTTTGAGAGTTTTCTTCATTATAAGCCAGTGACTGGGCTGACCTTTGCCCGTGCGGAAGGTGAGCATGGCCGGCTGACCCTCGCCTGCTGAATTTCGAGCCACCATCAGCACCTCATAGAGACTTAAGGACTCCAGCTCTGACAGCCGCAGGGTCTTCTCACTGCCAGGCACACGGACCGTGTGCCAGCTTCCCACCACCGTTCCCATTTCATCAACCTGACACACAGACACATACAAGAGCATGACTAAAAATGACAGTGATAGTTAATAATCCTTCGTATTTAGTCTCAGTTTAGTTTAGAAGCCTGAGCAGCATCACTAACAAAGGCTGTGATTTACACAGGTGCTCCACAGTCACATTTTCCAACTCCAGCAAAACCGATTCCTGCCAACAAAGTTTAACTAGCAGTTTTATAGTCAGAGTGAGACGATTTCTGAAGCAAATATTTTAGAAGGAAAGTGAACAGCCTTTTATTCATATTCATATTTTCAGGGTAAAATATGAGCAAAATATTTCAGAAAAACTAAAGGAAAAGATTTTTCCCTACCTTACGGTATTTAACAAAATAGGCGTTGATGGGATTGCCTCCATCGCGCCCCGCCTTCCACTCCAGATCATACACATCAGGCTTGTGAGTCTGAGGTGGGCTGATGATGATGGGTGCCTCTGGGGTAGGACGGTTGCCGCTCCTATCAGCGGGCTGGTTAATCGGATCTCCTTCGTTTTCTGTGAGGAGACGCTCGTGGCCCTCGTCGCTCTGTATCGGGTGGAGTGACGGTGAAGCTTCAGGCAGCGCACCAACAGTGGAACCCGACTGTGAATCTGTCAGTGAGGAAGATCAGAGATGATTAAAGTGAGATGTGATACAGTCGCATCAAAGATCAGTCAGATTCACAACAGACTTTGTTAACTTATGATCACCAGGCCACATCAGCTCAAGTCTCAGCTGATACCCTTTTACACATGCTATCTGCAAGCTGCTTTTCAACCAACCTCCACAGGTGACTCATCTTTTCAGTGCAGACTTAATCAACGTCAAGTCTACTGTCAGTGATGCCTGCTTTGTTCTGTGTAGGGGGTCTTAGTGCAACTTTCCTGACTCATACCATTAAATACAAATGACTGTAGATGGAAACCCCTATCTTTGCTCATACTTTAGGCAGAAAATAAGATTTTGGAAAGTCATGCTTTTCATGGCATTAGGCAAACAAATGCCATAAATAACCGTTAACAGTACTATATTTGTTGATCTCATTTTTGTGTTGTGTATGTTCACTTTTTCCAATACAATTGTGGATCTTTGTTCAGTTTTGTACAGCATGGAGGAGGAGAAAGCACCAAGAAAAGCTGACTAACACAGTGGCCCCGCCTGTGCACAAAGGGCAACTTGCTGGAAAGTTTTACATTTGGAACAAATATGTGTACAGTGCTACATCAAATCACACTTTGCTTTTTTTATTAAATCCTTGTCAGAGCCAGAGTGGTCCACCTGGGCAAATCATGCGAGCTGGGAGTCTTATTATGGCTGACATTAGCTTGGCAAAGTTCAGGTGAAATGTTGGGTTTTTTTCACAGACATTTCGAAGCCACAAAACCTGGGACTGCTCAACTTTGAGCCACATCTCAGAGGTCAAACAGAGTCACAGCTGAATATTAAAAAACAAAACAAGTGAGTAAGGAGGTAAACACCGCAGAGGCACACACACACTGCAGGGTCCTGGGTCCAGTTTCAGGCTGTTTTTGGTGTATGTGGGACCGGTTCACTTTGTAAAACAAACAGGCCTAGAGCTGGTAACACTAGACCTGATCCTGGGACTGTGGCCAGCTGCCACACATTCCACACACCAACCATTAAAATACCGGAGAGAATCAGACCTCAGCGCTACATCCAGCCCTCCACACGTTCCTGTTCGTTCAGCCCTGCAACACTCTCACCTCTCCACAGCTCTGACTCATAGCTCAACCACAGCCAGGGCTCCTACTCTGACACAATGAGAGAGGAGGAGGCGATTAAGGACACAGCGACCTCACTATTCTGATGGGAAGGAGTGGTACATTACAAGTGCTAGTAAACCAAGAAAAAGATACATTGCCAGGTTCTTCCCAGAAAAAGGTCATGGCATTAGAGGAGAGCACCTGGGAGTGAATGTGGTGATAAATCATGAAGGATTAAGGACAGAGACAGGAGCCTGGAAAGAGCCTGCTGGAGGACCTGTGGATACCTATGAGGAAGCAACGCAGTGAAGACGGATCCAGTAAAGAGTAAAGTGTTTTGACTCCTCTTGTTTCACAAGTTTCAGGCAGTAAAAAGGCCAAGTCTTGCACTTAATGATCTTCTGTCACTGATAACCAACAAATAATGACTTTAGTGGATAACTTTGTGATTAGGTTGCATGTTAATTCATAAAAGGTCATGGAAACCCAGACCACAGCATGATAGAATAACGCACATCAGCAGGTAAAAACAGGGTGCTGTCAAACCAAACTTCTTTCTTTGATGAATTACAATCACAGGCTACATAAATCAATAATACTGTTTAATTTGAATGTAATAGCATTTGATAAGCTCCGGTGCCTGGTACCTGATAACAAACTGAATTATCAGCTTGTTTTGTGTATAAAAGTGGTCTGCAGCAAAAAATATTCATTTCTGCAGTTTGTGGAGGGAAGCAAACGTTTTGCAGTGAACCCACCTGATGGTGACTTGTACTCCCTATGTTCTGCATGTAGCCGCATTAATCATTCTGAAGATAGCAAGGAGAGCTCAGGAATGGGGCCTTGGAGTAGAAGGAAAGCTTGGGGGAGACTGCAGGAGGAGGAGGAGGAGGAGGAGGGGGATGGTTGTGATGTATTAATAAATAAAAGGCAGTTGTGTATGATGTTGACAGCTGGGTGGTCTGGTCCTCGTCATAACCCTCCACGGCTACTCCTTACATTCCAGCGTCCGGGGGCTTATCCCCGACGGTGCGCACAAAGCTCACTCTCACGCTCAAGCTCAGTTCAAGGCTCAGGAGGAGGGCGGCCTTGGCCAAGCCTCCCCTGCCAGTCCTTAGAGAAACACGTACATTCACACTCACAAAGCGAGGGCTCCCTGCAGATACTGTATGCACAGGCGCCACAGAGATCCCATCTGGTAAGATGTCTTAACCCTTTCTAACAATACCCTAAATTTTTTGTAACATTTGCAATGCAGTGTATTTCTTGGAACTTCTAACTTTCGGTGTGTGGAACATCTTCAATCTAAGACTCCTCCATTTGTGATGCAAATGCAGGGAAAAGTCTAAGTAAGTTTTGGGATATACTGGCTGTCAGATCTCTGCACTCTCTTGAACATAATGGGACCAGATGGCACTTGTCTTGTGGTGCGCAAAGTGATAAAAGAAAAAAATATCAGCAGTGAAATCATAACCCAGTTACTGAAGAAATCTCCAAAACCAGACACCGAAACAATCTAGCGGCACGAATGTCACTAAAGGCTGAATGAAAAATAAATATGTTTGCTTTTGGGATGAATTAAACCTAAGAGAAGAAAACAACCTTTAGTTGTTCCCAACCTAGGAATCAACAAGGCAATCCGGTACAGCTTTTGTTGTTTGATAGAGATAACTGATCATACATACCTCCTTGAGTTGTGAGCATTCCAAAGGACTGCGCTGAGCTAAAGCCATTGTCCAGCAGACACTGATAAACTCCCTCATCCTGTCGTGTCGCATCTGAAACAACAAGTGAGGATCCAGAGATCTGAAAGCGATGTGAAGGGGTGATGGGCTCTGCGTTGAACAGCCAGGTGATGTTTGGAGATGGATTTCCTTGGGCTACACAGATAAAACGAGCAGAGGAGCCGAGAGAGGCGAGCTGGTTCCCCGGTCCCTCGATGATGGAAACAGGCTCTGTGAAGGTGAGCGTGAAATGTTAAACATCTGCATCAAACAGTCACCACTCACACTCCTCTCTCATTGTGTTTTTCTTACCGAGAACCTTCACAGTATAGTTAGCGCTGACGAGAGTCCCCTGCTCCGTCTCAACAGCGCAGGTGTAACTGCCTTCATCGCTTCTCATCGCCCCAACAAAGGCCAGATTGTTGTGCTGTCGTTGGTGAGAAGGCCCCGGTATGACCTTGCCATTCTTAAACCACTTAGCTGCAGGTGCAGGACTACCAGACACAACACACTCCAAGGTCAGCGGCTGCGACTTCTCAATCGAAACAGTCTTTGGGGTTTTGGGATAAACGATCTGCACTGAAGAGGAGGGGTCTGAATCTAAACAAACCAAAAAAAAGACAAAGACGTTCGTTGGTCTGACATAACAGAGCAGACATATAAACGCTTCTCCTTGATTTAACATCATCTAACTTACATTTGACGGACAGCTTAGTGCCATGAGACTGTATGACGGTCTCCTTGGTAACAGGGTTCACTGCACCACATTTATACATGCCCTGGTGCTGGGCTGAAACAGAGATAATCTGGAGGTTGCCAGATGGAAGTATTAAATAGTCATCTGAAAAGAGAAGGAAAGGACTAAGTAATAGGAAGGCCTCCACAGTATACAGCCAGCATGCATCACACCACAAGCAGATGAACAAAAGGGGACAAATGCATGGATTCCTTCATAAATTTTCAAAATGAATGACCAAACGGAAGTGTCTGTTTTGAGGAAATCATATTCACAGATGGCTTCACCAAACTTTACTTAACTCCCTCATAGTAGTCTTCACTTCTTATCAGAGTCTCTACACTGGAACAAATTATTTTTAAAATCAATAAAAACAAAGCAATAAAAATGAAATATATAAAATCAAATGTTTATTTATTAAAACAAGAATACTATAGAAGGAATATGTACCAATCAAGGAAAATTCATTTGACCAGATTCCATTCAATCTAAAACTCTGCCTTGCACTTATATCACAAAATCACATGGAAAATGTACATGTAATGAAAAATTTTCATAAAGCTCAAAAATACTCAAAAGGCCTCATAAATGAGAGCCACCTTTATCTCCCTTTGATAAGTGAGAGTATATATAAATAATATTTAGCGTAGTGCAGTGTTGCACTTTTTAAATATTCTACAGTCTATTTAGAGCTCATGAATAAATAAAGAAAACTGACATAATTGGTATTTTTACAATTGAGCACTTTTTCAGAGAACAGCATATAGAGTTAGAAAAACTACACATTTATCTGAGTTTCAAACATACCTTTTGAAGCTTCCACCCAGCCCCCCTGTATCCTCAGTCTAGGAATAGCTGGGGGAATGCTACGTGGTAGAGGACACTCTATAAGAGCAGTGCTCCCTTCCTGCACTGATAATGACCGCCGTTGGCCATCTTCGTATTTTGATATTTCTGCATGGATAGAAATAAACACAATTGCCTTAGTTCAACTTTCCTTGAGTCCAGAATATCAGACATTTAATATCTTCTGAGCATCTGCAGAGTCAGTGACAAAGATGATCAGCACTACTTGAGTTGAGCTGTTTGTGTTGGACCACTTGGCTTGTTTATTGTTGCAGTGAGTGATTCGACTCATGCCTGATACAGCTCCAAAGCAAGGTCAGCCTCTTAGCATAGTGTCCAAGAGCAAGAAGCATCCCAGCAGGAACATGCTGCACACAGGAAAGCCCAAAGCTCATTAAGGATACCGGTCAAGAGGCATCTGGAACGATGCCCGAGTAAAAGCTCCTACTGCTTCCTTCCCCTCCGCCACTCAGCAGCAGGCAGCTGAGGATAGGCATTCTTTCTAAGTGTTCAGCAATCACGAAATAGCCTTCCTTTTCTCAAGGCCATTTCCTCTCTTTCTTCATCACTGCGCTTTGAAGTGAGCGGGAGCATGCACAGGACTCTAATTCTCTGCATCCGTACCTGCTATGGCAACACGCGCGTAGCGGCTGGCGATGGCGGGCCCGTGGTCTAAGCGTGCCACACACTGATAGACACCAGCATGACTGGGCATAAGGGAGGAGATTGTGAGGGAGCCACTGCCAAGCTCCACACCAGGCAGAGTGTCCCGGTCCAGGGGAAGGCCTCGGAAGCGCCAGGAGACCACCGCTGATGGAGGACTTACAGAGCACTGCAGATGGACAACAGAGCCTTGACTCTGAACCAAGGAGGCGGGCTCAGAGTGGAAAGATGGATATTGAGCTGATGAGAAGACGAGAGCAGAGAAAAACAGGTTCAGACATGTGAATTAATAAACGGCAGGCTTGCTCAAATTATAAATCAAATTATAACTGTCGCATTGTTGTTAAAGCTGTTTTAATAAACTTACACAATAGAGACTGACTGACAAATTACTGTGCAGTATTTGCCAATACATTTCTTAAAGTAAAAGGCAGAAAGATGCTTGCGATAATTTAGAAAGAGTATAATCCAACAGCCTGTCAACAATTTCCCTTTTTTCAACAGAACTGCTTTTACACCAATAATTTCCAGTATTAATTTGTTTTTTGCTAGGGAAGACCAAAATGTGTAATTAAAAGGTCCAAAATATTTACTTTGAGTTGCACAAGTTAATTTATGGCCAATCAGGAGCTGAAACAGGAACACGCCTCTAAATCATCCACCGGACACTGAAAATATTTGCCTTTATTATTAACTATCTGTGTGTCTTCATTTGTGGACAGCATCCACTGTGTTTGTCAGCTTTGAAGCTGATCTTCTTCCATTTAAAAAAAATTATTCTTTGCTAATAAAAGTAAATAGAGCTGTACAACAACTTACATGAGCAGGTGATCAGCAAAGACTGGCTGAGACACAGCACAGTGGACAGGAGGACCCTTAGGCCACTGTCCATGGTGCACTTTGACCCCTGCCAGAGGCCGTGTTGTCCAGTAAGTACGTCCACGTCTGTTCGGCAAACCTGCAACACACAGATGAGTAGAAAAACATATCAGGCCGCAGCTCTGCAGAGAAACATGGCGTCATGTACGCGAGCGCAAGAGACGACATGTAAACAAACAGCAAAGCAAGGAAGAGGAAACCAGAGGTGGGGGAAAAAAATCAATTAAGTTCCCGTTGAATCCTGAACGACAATCCCTCTAATCTTCACGACACATCCTCTTTACACACTCCTTGATCTACACCTCCCACCCTCTCCTCTGACCCCTCTTCTCACCCACTTCAGTGTCTGTGTGGAGGCTGGAATGTCCAGCCTCTCTGCTTCCTTCTCTTCCCACAAGACCGCTGAGATCTCCTGATAATGGAGTATCTGTGGAGAGACTGTCGCCTCACTCTTAATATCACTCTCTTGTCACACTGCGTTGCTTCCTCATAGGTTCAATGTAGCCTGAAGTGCAGGCCAGACACACACGGTAAGACAAGAGAAGAGCCAAAGAGAGAGACAGAAAAGAAGTGGAGGGCACGTAATTAGGAGCATTCCTCTATCCTTTTCAACCAGACCCCCCTCCGAATGCAACGCCTCCTCCTTTTTCTAAGAGTAATCCGGGCAAGCTTTGATCCCAGGTTCCTGGTTGCTAACCAGGGTTTGAGCCTGAGGCTGGCGGGACAATGGTTGTCCAGCTGTGATATTCACACTGGTGCTTCGTGGCTCGCAGACATTAGCGGAAGGGCCAACCGAGGCTGAAGGGTGGGTCAAATTAAAAGCATGATGCCTGGGTGGGAGCGGCGAGGCTCAACAGGTTTCTAACCCTCATTCTCTAACTAAAACATTGTTTCGTCCGCCCGACAATCAAGCAGGTCAATTTGGTTAGCCTCCTCTCGAGGGTGCAGTAGGGCTTGAAAAAGACCTGTTGGCGTGGGGCTACAATGAATATTTATTTCTGTCGTCAATTAATCTGCTAATTACTTTGCCAAAAAATAAACACAGGGATGTGAAGTGCTTACATGTAATTACAGTAATGCTGTGTGTATTAGGAGCACAATTAGTAATGTGCAAACTGTAATTAATGTCTCAAGCTTATACTGTAAAGGTTCAGAGCCTCCCACAATGAGACAGGCCTATTGTACCAAACTAAAACCAATGAAGCTTTCTTTGTAAGAAGATTAACTCATACAATTTTACCTTGTCATGTTAAACACCCAATAGCAACTCTGAAAGTTATTGCCATGAAGAGCAGTGTAGTTGGGATGAAAGTGAAGGTCAAGTCTGATGATAGGTGTGGTCTGACCCACGAGTAAATAGCGCTGGAGTCCATCCCACTCTCACTTCACGCCCTCCTCAGACCTTCTTTAAATTTTCATCTACTGTATTTGGTGTACAGTATATAAATATGATTAACTGGGGTAAAAACATTTTCTATGAAGGGTTCAGTCGAAACAGCAGTCTCTGAATTTGGTTACTGTCATGGATAGCGTGGCCTTTCGAGACAACTACACAAGGGGGTGTGAATGTTTTGCTTTTTTACATATAATTTGCTCATTTAAAGACATCAAGAGAGTGGCTACTTTAATGGACAGAACAACACAAGGTACTCTAGCAGCCAGGCCAAACTTCCACTAAATCGACCCACTGAACTGGACCTCTCCATCAAGTTTGTGACATCGACAAGTTGTATTATACAACCAAGCAGGTAAAGTGGTCCTTTTGAAGCTTCAAAATGCAGCATTTAAGACCAATAGGTGACACCCCTGCACCTCTGTCTATATTTTATATGCAATCTATAGTGGGGCTCGATATAATCAGAAGGTTATATCGAGCCTTTCTAGCTTTATGGTGGTGAAAGGTTCATAAATTCTTATAAAAGCCACAAATGGCAAGTCAATGATTTATTGTGCCAACGCTATGTATATGCATTGCTAATTAGTTAACACTGTGCATTTTTTAAGGTCATTCTGAATGCTGGGGCTTTTGCTGCCTTCACTTGATGTATTCATACCCACTCTCTTCATCCTGCTCTCTCATTCTCTCAGAGGGCATACTGAGAGGAGAAGGATAGAAGAGGCAGGAAATAATAAACTCTTCCAGCACTAGGCTCACGCCCCTGCTCACCCAGAGGTCAAAGGTTATGGAGGAGTAGCAAAAGAGCGAGAGGATGAACCAGCGGGTGTCTGGGTGCGATGGGACAGCTCCCAGAGGTTACCTCCAGCTGTCTCCATTTCAATTACACACACTGACACACACACAACTAAATATTTAAAGCAAAACAAAAATAAAGTGCTTAAGAATTAACATTTAAAAATGAATTCTTTGTGAACCCTCTAGCCTGTAAGCTAGTTTACAATTGCCAAGTTTCAGGAACATGCCATGATGCATATGGTGTATTCTTTGCATTTTAGGCTCCATATTAACTGTGTCCATGCTACTTCACACAGATCAAACTTACATCTTTGCAGGCTGGCGTTTCTCCAGCCCACAAGTTGCAACAGGCCCTGCACACTACCCCCATGTCATCAGTGCAAACTATCTTTCTCTCTCTGCCGGAATAATGATATATAATTACAATAATAACAACAGTGCTAAAACAATGCACAACCAAGCATGGGCACACTGGCACACAGTACGGTGAGAAACCGGAGCTTTTTTCCCTCTGGCTACCTTTCCTTCGCTCTCTTATTTTAACCTGTTCAGTCCTCCCATCAGGAGGGCCAGTTGGGCACTAAAGTTCTGAATGGATGCCCTTGTGTAAACACACACACAGCTGCCTATCTGCCCTATTGATCTGGCACAACGAGGAAACACAAGGGCATCATTCCTGTTTCTTATCTTTTTGGCTTTCCCCTGACATCCGCCACCATGAAGCCTCCTCAGTGGAGACAGACACTGTGAGGATATCTCTTATCTTTCATCAGAGACTAGTCCTAATGCTGGCAACACTGGCTGCATGGAAAGGCAAGTCCAATTTCCTATTTCCAGACACCCAGACAAAAGTTGGAGTGGTCCTTTTACAAAGGGGAAGTCCCTGTCAACTGGAGCCGGATCAGCCTGAGACTCTTTTTTTCTTTTCCAGTGTTAATGGTGGAGTGTTGATCTCACTCCTCCACATTTTACCACCTAAAAGGAAAATATGTGGTATTCCCGTTTTCTTTCTCTCCTTCCCGAAAATCTGATCTTATGATACTGTCTGTTTTTGCACTCACGGTGTGGATGCATGGCCCTTCTCAAGGCAGGATCGAGCAGCTATAAATCGAAGTGACATCCTGCATAAAAATCAACTGTGCACCGTTGAAAGATGATACACCGAAAAATAGTTTATTAAAATAAAAAATGAGGTGGATGTGTCAGCGAGTTCAAGTGGAAACGTTCCTATTTTTTTGGGTGTGGGGGGTTGACCCATGTATGTTTGGCAAATCTTTGACTGACACTTGGCTTAACGGTGCAACTGCAAGAAAAACATCAATCTCCTGAGACTTTGTAACTCTGTTTTCTGTGTTGTTTTTTTACTTCATCTGTCATACTCCCTTCCGGACAACTCCACAGTACACATATATGATTGAGAGGCACCACCTTTATTTTTCTATCAAGGGAGACATTCAAACAGAGGAATAAGACCATCTACCCCCTCACAGGACAAGCAGGATCCCTGGTGATGACACAGGAGAAAATAAACACACTGACAGGCTGCCCTCAGGGAAAAGAAAGGGATTTGAGTTCTAGGGCGATTAGCACCTGCACCTCTTTTTTGGCCCCCTCTCTGCAGGAACTACTTAAAGCCCCATCTGCCCCCATGTGGGACTGGCCCATATCCCTGTCATATTGGGTAAACAGGGACAAAAGCAATGCAGCGAAGCATCAAAGACCTGGAGGGCAGAGGAAGAACAGGTCACAACTGGTGCTGCTGACTGAGACAGAGGCCTGGCTTCTCTGCTTCACAGAGAAACACAGACACCATGATGCAGCCCTCCAACATTAATGCACTAATTTTATATCATGTTTTTATCATAAATTACTAATAATGAATAGTAGAAGAGCACAAATTCATTAAATCAAAAGGTTTTGTTTAAGAAAGAGCAAACTGTTACAGGTGACCAGAACCAATTGAAGCTTAGAGATAAAGATGTCAAGGGTAAATGATCAGTGGGGTGTAAGAGAAAGGGCAAGTCTTTTCTGGTATGATGGTCTAATCTGACCTGTGTGCCGAAGCGGATTCACATGCTATACCCCAAACCTGTCTGCACTCGCCCCACATCTCACTGACAGAGGATCTGCAGCACACACATTCCTCAGTTCCACAAAGAGAGAGCATGACAGACACACAGAAAAAGACAGAGAAAGACACACACACACACATACACACAAGAGATGGGAGATAAATTCTGAATGATGAGAGGCAATGGGGTAAAAAAGCTATAACAGAAAAATAAAAAGAAAGGCTCTCTGGAAGAGAAGTAAAAGGAGATGTGTAGGATTTAAAAAGGTGAAACATTCAATAGGAGGTGAAAAGTGGCCAAGCCCTAACTTCTTTCTCCTCCTTTATTTGGCTCGGAGATAGAAGCGTACAGATAAAGACATCCAAAACTGCCAAAACTGACTGATGATTCAGCCGAGCTACATTCAGCTCAGCCCAGAAACTTTGGAAGACCCGACTCATAGAACAGACTCTAAGGGACCATTATGGGCTTCTTGTATTGGTCTGGGTGAGTCCACCGAGGCAGCCCGGGGCCACCGAGAAAAACTAATGAGTGGAAACACTGGGCCTCTGGTATGGCCTTACTCTGTCTGATTGAAGACTGAGATCTTATTAAAAGTGGGACTGTCTTAGACAGAAGGGGGTGAGCTAAAGTAAGGGAGAAAAAGACAGACATGATTTGGAATGAACTGAGGGAATTAGGGAAAGAAAGGGAGGGTCCTTTTTGTTTTACAATGAGAAGGAGGTTTTAGTCTATCCATGAGACAAATCGACTGCACTTGTCTGAGCCTGAGAAAGTTAATGAAGGTGTCTCAATAAAAGATTTAAACAGAGT